GGTTTAGGGGTTGAGGGTTTAGGGGATTACCTAACAGGATCCTAAATATAAGCCACAAAAAGAAACTACTATAGTGCCTATGGGCAGGGGATTGGGGTCCGTTAGGGCTTTCGGGTTTTAGGGTTCAGGGTTTAGGGCTTAGGGTTTAGGGTTTAGGGTTTAGGGTTTAGGGTTTGTGGTGTTTTTGTGGCTTTGGGTTTAGGGCTTTGGTTTTTGCATAGGGTCTTGGGCTTGGGGTTTTCTGATTGCGGGCATGTTTTGTCAAGCGCTGAAGGGGAGATAGGGATTTGTTCTAAGTTCGTGGGACTTCGAGGGACCGGATGCACATAGTCTTACGTTTATAGGGTTTAGAATTTAGGGTCATAGGGTGCTTTTTGGGTTACCTTGTATATAGATAAATCGAAAAAGTTGGTTCAATCGGAAAAAGGAACTGCATCGGAGACTATAGGTAGCGCTGAGGGCGCAGTGCTCTGAAGTTACATGTAGATTGTACATGACATTTCATGACATTGACATAGGCATAAGCCATAGCGGTAGAGGCATTCAGCTCTCGTTCAGCGCATTTGAAGAAATTCAGTCCGAGGCACTCAGCCACGTCATATTACAATCTAAGACCATCGATAAGGCACTCAGCCATATATCAGGCTTGCCGCGGCCTCCACCGACCCCACTCTTAAAAATTAGGAGTGTGGAGCGGCAGCGCTGTCCGAATCTGAATATGAATTCTCTTCTTCGTCCAGCGCCTCAACTGCAATGCGACGTGTACTTGCTGTCAAGGTTTACAGTGGTAACAGACAGCGCAGCAAGCATCACCTGCAGAAAGGTCCGTCGCCATGACAAGAGCAGAGGCCCCTGCGCCCGGTTGATATGCGCTTGCTGTGGCATCGTGCTGCTGGCAGCTGTGCTTTGGAAGCGGAGTTTTTGTTCGTCGCCGACAGCTTCGCCGACGGCGCCGACCGCGGCGCCGACCGCGGCGCCGACACAGGCTTGCATAGGAAAAATGCAACCAGCTGTCATGGTGCTGCTTATGAGGCCAAGATCCGAGATCATGTGGGCTTGGGATTTAGGGTTTGGGGCGTATGTTAAACCACCACAACCAGCGACTCTACACAAAAGAATTTGGTTTTGGTAGTTCAATGGTAGAGTTTCGGCTTCGGGGTTTAGGCTTTAGAAGGTTTAAGGGTCCAAAGGATTCAATGGTACTCGGGTTGGGGATAGTAGATTTGAAGCGCTAAAAAGTAAGCGCTACTAAAGGGTTTCTACAAGGGCTTGAGGGTTAGGGTTTCAAGGTCCATGTGCCCAAATAGTACATACTGTAGCCATAGCAGATACTTTCAGCCCAAAATTGTACATTCTTTACCTCCGAAGTATATACACTATTTGGGCACATGGACCCTTAGGGCATTCAGGCTGAGATGCTTAATTATTCCCATCGGCATTCAGCCACATGAAGGGCTCTCTAAATTAAGGTCCCTTTGTAGGGCCCCATAATACCTACGGCACCCTTTGCACAAGGCCCTAAACAGGAACCCTCATTCAGAGCACTACCCACATTGCGGGGTCTAAAAGGCACCAAAAACCGATTCAGCAGATAGCTTCTGCGACCTTTGGACCGTCTCAAGCCCTAGCTTAACATCAAAGTTTGGGGTTAAGGTTTTAGGGGCAAATGCCTTACATTTTTAACGATGCTTTCATTCGAATAAGGAATTGAAGAGCATTGAAGAGGCAAGTTCTACAGCATTCATGTAAACCCTAACTACAGCCAAAAGTATCGTTGAAGAAACGTAAAGCCAGGGTGCATGACTGGCGGCCCTATGTTGAGGCATGTCTCAACGCCACCCATGGCACGAGCTGTGCTGGAAACAACTAATGTACAAGCATGAATAATTACCAATAGTTATGATTTCTTGGGGTTCGTTAATGTAATTATGATATCACGATAGAGGAGCCCCAAACCTTATTCTAACTCTTAAGGCCCCTACGTTACTTCTTTCTCTGGGGCTCTAGGATTTCGGGCTTAGGGCTCCCTATACGCTTGCCACCTTTGCTTCACCCAGGGAGCCGGGCAGCATTGTCACAATCTGGGTCGAGGCGGGTCGTGGGTGCCAATGTGGTTTTGTACAGTATAGCGTTCCATTGTAGGCTGGGCACTATTTTTGTTGTTGTTTTTTTCGTGTGTGTTGCAGCACTTTTTGGTTTCGGGGGTTGGTTTAAGTATAGGGTTCTCGGTTTTGGGTCGGGACCTGGAGTTTTGAGTTTTAGGGTTTCGGGTAGGGCTGATGCTAGGCTGTTGCTAAGTTCACCTACTCCTAGAAATGTTGCCCCTGCTCGCTTGAATTAGATGTCCGCACCGGTACATTCCAAAGGTCACCCCGCACGATGATGCTTTTGGCTCAGACTATGACGACGATCCTGTACAGCGATGACAATCAATGCTAAGTGGCCGTGCTCATACTTAGACAATGGAGTGAACGTTGTGGGTAGAGGCGTGTTCTTCTGCAGGCGATGCTCTCCTAAGCAGCCAGATCCCGAACCGACCTACTAGCTCAGCTCTGATGACTCGTAGACGATGTTTCTTTCTCCACATGAACCAACTGGTAGCAATCTCCTGTCCGATGGTTTCGTATGCTAAGAGAAGCTTTGGGATGTATTCTTCGTGGTTTTACAGCCCGAAACCCTAAACCCTAAACCCTGAATATTTACCAAAATCATTCCTCAAGGCTCTTTATTAAGTTCTTTACTACTATCATATACCACAAAGACTTGCTTCAACTATGAAGCCGCTTCTATTACACGTAGTGGTCGAACCTGGGTGTTTAGCACCTCCCCCCCCCCCCCAACACCGAAGAGAATGACGACCCATGATTCATGAACCACTCCGTCTTTAACTTTCCTAGATCCTCAGTCATAGTCTACATTGCCGCAAGGTTCCACAGGCTCAAATAGTACCCTAAACGTCCAAGTACCTAATAATCATATACTCTCCCAAATTAACCTACATAACTACTATCCGAAAGATTATTGGGTCCTTTGGACCCTTGGGGGTAGGGTGTTCATACCAGAAGTCTCAGTTTTAACTAGGATCGGGAGTCATTTACCCGGAAACCGCAAACCTTAGACCCTGCACACTAATTAAGACGTACCTGGACCTACCATGACCGTAACAATCACCTTTTCTGTAGAGGTCCTAGTCGAGAAGCTGTTTTGTAAGGGGCCCTACAAAAACAGACAACAGCAGGCTTTGGTAGTTGAGCGCAAAACCCAAACCCCAAACCCTAAACGCGAAACCCTAAACCCCAAACCCCATTTGCAAACCCTAGGCTTCAAGAGTAAATCGTTTGACCACCAGATGATATAAATCCTGCACTAATTCCCATAGTTCAGGCTCCTTATATATCATCGACAGTAGCATTCAGCGCCCCCAACCCTAAACCCCAAACCCCAAACCCTAAACCCTGAATCCTAAACCCTCAACCCTAAACCCTAAACCCTGAATCGGGCTTCGTTTGACGATCAGGTTCCCATCGTTCCCGTGCCTGGCGAGGATGCTGTGGACCTGGATTTTCAAGGCCAGGGACCAACTTTTCTCGGTTTAGGGTGCTCACACACACACAAAACCAAAGCAAACAAAGAAATGACAGCACAAACATGGACTGCTGAGGGTTCGGGTTTAGAGGGGTTGTTCTGAGTAGAGATTTGTATGTTTAGGCGTTCTTTTGGCTTTGCCACTGTTGGATTTGTTGTTTCTGAGTTCAGGGCTTCAACAGGAGCTTGTGCAGCACTGCCTCATCCCTGAACCCCTAGATCTAAAGCCATGTCCCTAAACCCTAAACCCTACACCCCCCATGTGTCTCGACCCTACCCTAAGGCTCATGGACCCCCATAGTCAAAGCCCAAACCTTAGCCCCCAAAGCCCAAACCTTCCCCTAGAAAGCCCATAACAGCAGTAAGAGCCTTAGGATAAATCCTTTTCGGGAGTCTTACCCTTAACCCTGAACCCTAAACCCCTAAACCCTAAAAGCCCATAACAGCAATAAGTTTAGGGTTTAGGGTTTAGGGTTTAGGGTTAGCAATAAGAGCCTTAGGGTAAAGCCAAAAGTTGACCTAAGGCCTCGGCCTAAAGCCTTGCCTAGACCCGTTCATGTAGTACCTTTCCTAGGGTTTAGGGATTGTACGGCTTATAGGTTTTGGAGTTGTTTTGGGGTATATGGTACTATTAATTGTAAAAAGGAAACAAAAGGGTCCAAGTGCTCAAATAGTAGGGTTTCAAGGTCCAAAAACCATTCAGAGTATGGTTTTTTGGGACCTAAAACCTTACTATTTGGGTACTCGGACCCTCTGGGGTTGTCTTACATTCGTTTCTTGCTTTAGGGATCTTAACCAAACAGAAAGGCATCCAGTCAAAGGTGCTACATGTGAGGGCTTTGGTAAAGTCCTTAAACCCAACCCTCCAACCCTTAACCCAGCGCCCAAGCCTGATGGCCCGAAAGACGCCTGAAAGTGACGCGGCCGGATCTGCATTTCCTGTCTCAGATAGCAAGTGATTCTGTTGATGGACAAAATCCTGCATTACCAATTACAAAGAATATATCATAATTCCCATAGTTTAAGGTCCTTAAGGTCATGCAGGATTTTGTTCATCAGCAGTTCAATGGGAGAGGTCTAAGCTTCTTGGCCTCAAATGTTTGGTCTATTTCTGAATGAAAAGTGGCGAGTACAGCATGGGAGCCCTGACCACTCAAGAAGGGGCAAGAGTGTGGGCAAGATAGTGGCTTAACCAGAGGGTCCATACATGTGACATGATTTGTTATGGTTTCAAAGAGCTAATTCCACAATAGTACTTGGAGGTTCATGGGTAGTTATAAGTGGAGTTATAAGTCCCCGAATATAGGTTATATCTATAGCTACCCTACTTATATCCTACTTATAACCACCCATGAACCTCCAAGTAGTATAGATGGACCCTTTCGGGAAGATTTAGTCCTGAAGTCTAAACCGTAGTGAGGTTATCCTGGAGCAAGGCGTTAACTGAGTGCAGCGACCGTTGCCTCCTACACCCTACACCCGTAAACCAGAGAACCCAAACCCAACTTAGATGCAATCAGTTTTGTGCGGACCTATGGCGTTTAGGAGTAGCTTCCGGATTTATTGGTTCTCAAATTGTCAAAGTAGCTAGCCAACAGCCTTCTGTAGTACGGTTTGTGGCCCCGCCACGAAGCCTAACCTTTAACCCTAAACCCTCCTAAACCCTAAACCCTAACAGTTCTCAGCATAGCCCAAAGCCTTCGGAGGGAGGATCTTTTCGCTCAGGATCCTCTCTCGAAGGGTTGCGATACGGATCCCTGCTGTTTAGGGCTTAGGGTATATGGGTTTAGGGTTCATAAGGTTTAGGGTTTAGGGCTTAGGTTTTATATGGGTTTAGGGTTTATAAGGTTTAGGGTTTAGGGTATATGAGTATTAAGGCTTGTGGCTTTAGGGTGTATGTTTTGGGTTTTGGTACTTACGAGGGTTAAGTTAAGAGTGTAGGACGAAGTCTTTTGATGCTCTATCGTAAACCCGAAGAGGTTGGAAACCGGATAAAGGACAAATAGTGCTGGGATTCCCTATACAGTGCTTCTAAGGATTGAGGCCATTGGGTTTCCAGCTTTTGCTTCTAAACCCTAAACCTTACACCCTAAACCCCAAACCCTAAACCTAAAGCCCAAACCCTAAGCCCTAAACCCTAAACCCGAACCCCTGAGCCTGCTCGAAGCACTTCTTAGACAGGCCCCGTGTTTTTCCCACCCTCACAGGGCCTGGTGCTCGCGTGTGGTACACCGTGGAGGCGACGGTACTATGCCTTGAGGTTTAAGGGTTCAGGGTTTGGGGTTTAGGGTTTAGGGTTTCGGGTTCAGGGTTTTGGTTTGGGGTTTAAGGGTTATGGATTACAACCCTAAACCCTAAATCCGGGTTATGGATTCTTGGGGGGTTTCGGGCTTCAGGATGACGGGTTTAAGGGTTGTGGAAGGTCGTGGATCTTCAGGTTTTTAGGGTGACGAGGGTTTGTGGAATGTTGCGGGTTTTTAGGTTTTCGGGCTTCTGGACCACGGGTTTAAGGGTTATGTGTTGTTTAGGGAATGGGTTTTCGCGGTCACTTTCTTGTGCTTGGGGGATAAGGGCTATAGGCCGTATGAGTTATGCCGTCGTTTAGGGTTTGATGCTTTAGGGCGTTTTTGTTGTGAAATCTGTATGCTCTGAGTTGTCCTTGCATAACATCGAAAAGCGCCCGCAAAATCTCATTATTATGACTATTCATACCACCCATCTACACATACTTATGTCTGTGTATCTCTCTATACCTACATACATACATACATACATACATACCTACATACATACATAACTCCTTCCATCCATGCATGCATGCATACATATGTACATGTATGTATGTATGCATGCATGTATGTCAATGTATGTATGTATGTATGTATGTATGTATGTATGTATGTTTGTTTGTTTGTATGCATGCGGCAACCAACTAATTAATTAGATATGTACATGTGTATTTATATATGTATATTATATTTATGTGTGTATATATATAGATATAGATACCACATACATACATACATCCATCCATCCATCCATACATACATACATACATACATACATACATACATACAGTGTATATATATATATATGCATATGTATATGTATATGTTCATACATTACATCATTTGGCTTCACGTCACATTACATTACATTACATTACATTACATTACATTACATTACATTACATTACATTACGCTACATTACATCTCAGTACATTACAGTACTTCATACACACATGGGTGCTATTGATTTTCAGGCTGTGAGAGTATGAAGTTTGTGTTTCGGGCTTCAGGGTTTTGGGGTTTGGTTAAGGAATCAGACCTTTGTGTCAAGGTCAGTCTGTCCCTAAACCCTAAGCCCTGAAACCCCAAACCCTAAACCTCAACACCTTGAATCCCTAAAGCTTCAACAAGGGAAGCCCCAAACCTCTTTCGTCCCAAAGCATTTCATTTGGGTCTGAACTAGAGAGATACAGGACAAACCCTACATGGCCTTGAGTACCCAGTACATCCAGGTAAGTCTGAGGCCTACTTTGTTGTGGACATCAGACGTATAGCATGCAAGCTGAAGCATCGCACCGCTGTCCCAACAGATCAACCTGTCCCCAAGACCTCGTGCTAGAATTCCTCGGCCTATGGTGCCCTCGGATGTTCAGGGTGACGGCTTCAAGCATTTGTATTTCGTTTCCTCCACTCCTCCACAATCCCTGAACTCCTAAACCCTAACCCTAAACCCTAAACCCTAAACCCTAAACCCTAAACCCTAAACCCTAAACCCTAAACCCTAACCCTGAATTCCCGAAGACCCCGAAGCACAGAGCTTGAAGCACCGTCGTCTAGCAACCCTCCAGCCCAGACCCCAAAGCCTAACAGTGAACGCTAGGCCCCATAAGACCCTAAACCCTGATTCCCCAATATCCCTTAATTAAGGATTATACCTTAAATCATATTAGAGATCCTACTATAATTTCAACTATAATTTCAGGTCTATTCCTGAATTAAGGGATATTGGAGTTTTCTGGGGACCGCATCCATGAATCTCGCGTCTCCCCGGCGCAGGACACCGGACTGCAGTGGATCGGTGGCGACGGCTACGACCTAGAGAAGTACAAGCACTCCGGCAGCACATCTCTTCCCTCAATACAAGCCTGACTCCTAAACCGACGGTTCAATATAGGATCTTGAAGCCTTCCTCGTATCAGTATACCATATTCTACGCCTAGGCACGCTTTTCATTATCAAGGCCCCTGTACTACACTCATACATACCCCCATGTAGTGACCCTTTGAGACTCTTAAAAGGGAACCCTCAAAGGAAACCTCTTCGAACTATCCAGGACAATACATCAAAGGCGTTCTTGAACTGGGTCGACTCCTGAATGCAGCCTGCCCTTAAGCCTACTTGGAGGTTCATGGGCAGTTATAAGTAGGGTTATAAGTAGGGTAACTATACTTACAACGTATATTAAGGGACTTATATCTCCACTTATGACTACCCATGAACCTCCAAGTAGTTGCGCGGCATTTCTTGGCTTTCACCTCGACGAACGACTTTTGGGTTTCTGGCTAAAGACTCGGCACCTTCACGCATTCCTGCTGTTGATGATACACATCCTGCATAAGGGCCCTAAACTTATTCCTTATCATGGGGTAACGTAAACCCCAAACCCCAAAGCTATGGGAATGACGGTATATTCCTGATTATGGGGTACTGCAGGACTTCTGTCATCAGCCGTGGTGTCTGCTTTTTCCTCAGCCCCGGAAGCCGAAGCATGACAGCCCATGCCTGCTTAGAGCAAGAAGCCTGATAATAAGTATGGGAGCCTGGGGTTTAGGGTTTAGGGGTTTAGGGTTTAGCGTTTAGGGTTTAGGGTTTAGGGTTTAGGGTTTAGGGTTTAGGGGGTTTAGGGAAATAATTTCCAGTACTAATTTTTGGGGTTCCTTGTTATCATTATAGTAGAATGGGCCCCAAAGCCCTTTTAGAATCATTAAGGCCCCTATATTATCCATATCGGTCCGTAGGGTTCCTCATACTTACTATACTCCCAAATCCTGTTCTATATACAAAGGCCCCTATATCCTAGCTCTTCTACTATATGGAATTAGGCCCCGAAAGACAATCCATAATAGTAGTGTTGATGGATCCTCTTGGTTGGAGAGCCCTTTGCAAGAAACCCTATTCGAGTTATTAAGGCCCCTATATTAAGCACTGCGAATATTCGAGGACCCGAGCTCGACATTCGAGTTGCAAATGGAGGGTTTAGGGTTTAGGGTTTGGGGTGCTGCCCTAAGGGTCCATGTGTCCAAGTAGTTTCTACTCAGGCCAAAGCATAGTACAGTATATTGCTACATAGACCCGTAGGGCTACTTTAGATAGAGGTCTTGCACGAATAAGAAGCTTCAACGATAGCGTGTTAGGGCTGCCACACGCACACGCACCCCGAAACCCTAAACCCTAAACCCTAATACCCTAAACCCTAAACCCTACACCCCAAAACCGCAGAGTGAACCCCACGCCCTACGTCCGAAACCCTACCGCGCAACCTAGGTTTACCTACGGGCGAAAGCCTGAACCCTCTTCCCGCATCTAATCTACACAAACCTCAAAGCCCTAAATCTCCAAACCCCTAAACCCGAAACCCTGAATCCCCTAAGCCCTAAACTTAAACCCTCCAGCCCTACGCCCTTGGCCCGAACCCTAAAACCCAAACCGGAACCCCGAATATCCGATTAACTAAGGGGTTCCTTCTCGGGTCCGTCTTAGGCTCCCTTTTAAGGGTTTAGGGTTTAGGGTTTAGGGTTTAGGGATTTTAAGGAACCCTAAAGGAAACCCGCGAAAGTGCCCCAGAAGGAACCCTGACAGGGTTCCCTTCACGGGACCCTAAAGCGTCAACCCTAGACCCCTAAACCCTAAACCCCCCAACCCCCCCCTAAACCCCAAACCCTTAACCCCTAAACCCTAACCCCTGAATCCTCACATGAAATCAGGTGGATGACCTCGTGGACGGGATCCTGACAGAGCAATTTGAGACTGTGCAGAACTGCCTCGGGGGTTTAGGGTTTAGGGTTCCGTCAAGGGTTAAGGGTTCCCTTAAGGGTTTAGGGTGTACGGGGAAAATACTTTCAACGCAGGCTTTTGCAAGCATTGCTTTAGATTAGGGCGTTTCGCAGCAACCCCTTCGGATGTACTGTCGAAAGTCTGCGTTCGACTTGCGAGGGCTTCATGGGGTTCTCGGAGGGCTTTGAGAAAGGTTCTATAAAACCCATGGGGTGTAGTTTCAAAGTCTGCTTCAAGGTTAAGATGTCATACGGCGTCATACAGCGTTATGGACTTCTGTAGGGTTCCATGGCAGTATTACAAGGTAAAGTCGGAACCCTAAACCCTAGGCCCTAAACCCCAAGATAGAACCGATCCTACACCCCGGAAGCCATACCAAAGGTCCGGTTTAGGGTTTAGGGTTTAGGGGACCAGTTTCAGTTGACCGCCACGACACTGGGTCGACACGGACCCCTTTCCCAGACGATTGAAATGAACGAAAAAGGCGAGCGCAACAGGCCTATGTAAACCCTTTTAGGGTTTAGGGTACCCCAAACCCTTGATCCCGTTAGGGTTTAGGGTTTAGGAACCCTAAACCCTAAACCCTAAACCCTTAACCCTAAAAGGTACCCCAAAGCCCTTTTCTGTGGGAGCTGCACCTTCTAACCACTCTGACGGTTCGGCTTTCACGATGTTTATGGGTTTCTAACCGGCTCAGGTCACAGAGATGGAGAACGCAGACCTACATACTGTTGATGGACAAAATCCTGCATTACCCATTATAAGGAATATACCATAATTCCCATAGTTTAAGGTCCTTAAGGTCATGCAGGATTTTGTCCATCAACAGTAGTACATCTACAAGCCTAAACCCTAAACCCCAAACCGCGCATTTAACCTTAAAGCGTCAGAACGACCCAGGCTACCAACCAGCATTCTCAGGCTCAAACCACCCAGCCTTCATTTTCTCTCCCCTTCCATATCAACCCTCAGCCTGCTCAGGGTTTGGGTTTAGGGTTTAGGGTTTAGGGTTTAGGGTTTAGGGTTTAGGGTTTAGGGTTTAGGGTTTAGCCCCTAAATATCCTCAAGGAACCCTACAAAACTCTTGCGATTAGGACCTCTAAGCCCCCTTAGGTACGATGATCCTTTAAGGAAGCCCTTATAGAAACCCTAAACCCTAAACCATCCCTGAACCCCAAACCCTAAACCCTAAAACCTTGCAATCAACTCTCTGGAAACTTCCAGTCGAAGCCATGGCTGTGGCGAGTGAAGACGGCGCAGCCGCAACAGCAAGTCGCGCGGCGAAGTAGGATTCGTAAACGATAAGCCATAATCTAGGGGCCTTCGCAATTAGAACAGAGTTTCAGGGATATTGTTAAACTATAGTTATACCAAGGAACCCCAAAACAGTATTGGTAATTCTGTAGGCCGCTATTGTTGCTTCTTATGGTTGGGGGCGGACAAGGAGGGCTTGCGGGCTGCTGAATGGAGCATCTTCGCTTTCAAGCTGGGATTCGCAAGATGGCATTCGGTTATGTAGAGTTTAGGGTTTAGGATTTAGGGTTTAGGGGTTTAGGGTGGGTTTTAGGGTTTAGGAGTTTAGGGTTTAGGGTTTTCGGTTACAGGGGCTACTAAGTGCGGCTTGAGGATTACAGTTTCAAGTCATTCGGACCGGAGGGTAGCTCTTGCTTTTGGAGAATTCGGGCCGTTAGGTTTTGGGCTACCGGGTTAGGGTGTAGGGCTCAGGGCGCTAAACCCTACTCCCTAAACCCAAAACCCTAAACCCCTAACCCCTAAATCCTAAACCCTAAACCCCTAAACCCTAAATCCTAAACCCTAAACCCTAAACCCTAAACCCCTAAACCCCCTAACCCCAAAAACCCTAAGCCCTAAACCCTAATCCCTAAACCCCTAAACCCCTAAACCCTAGACCCTAGATTCGGTACACCCCCTGAGCCGGGTCAAACCTTGAACCCAAATACAAAAGGCCACCGGAAGTCTGCTGAACCTCGTTCTTCTTCAGAAAAACCCAAAAGGGCCCAATAATGCGGTTCTTGGGTTTAGGGTAGTAGTTATATAGGTTCATATCTTGGGAGAAGAATATGATTATTATTCGGTACTTGGACCCTCTTGGGGATACTTAATATAATATAGTAGATACTTAGTATAGGCTGTACAGGTACTTGAAGGGGTAAGTTGTTTTTGTTTGGACCTGCTCCTTCAAGGTTTTAGGGCTTAGGGTTTAGGGTTTAGGGGTTTAGGGTTAGGGTTTAGGGTATCAACAACAATTAGACGTTTGTCGCCCTGGTTGCCTCAAAGCCATGTGTGGCTCCCTCAAATTGATCCTCAACAAGAGCCCAATCAGGCAAGTCTCTTGGTAGTCTTAGTAGACAGCCCTTTCTCTTCAGGACGAGGTACAAAACCCCTAAACCCCAAACCCCAAACCCTAAACCCCTAAACCCTAAACCCTAAACCCCAAACCCTAAACCCTAAACCCCTAAACCTCTAATTACCCTCAGCCTGGCAATGATACTTCACGCTCACATTGTCGGTTTTGGCCATCTGCGGATAGAACTGGCTGGCTCTTTGGGGTTTAGGGTTTAGGGTTTGGGGTTTAGGGAGATGTAGATACATAGAAATTGACTTAGTTCTTCAATACCCAACCTTTGAACTTTTTGGGTTCTTAGTGATCTGAAAGTTTAACCTGTATTTTCCTAGCTTATTGGGGAAGTAAGTTGAACGCCGTGAATGGCCGAGGTCCCTCGGAAAGAGCTTTTGCCGAGCTGCTGGCACCCTTAGGCTCCTGTGCTTTCGGACTCTGCTTCAGCGCTTGGGGTTTGGGGTATAGGGTTTTGGGGATTTAGGAATTTAAGGTTTAGGGTTTTGGGGATTTAGGAATTTAATGTTTAGGGTTTGGGGGCTTGAGGAATTTAAGGTTTTAAGGTTTAGGGTTTGAGGGGATTCTGGAATTTAGGGCTTAGGGTGCAAAAGGGTCTAGGTTGAGAGCCCGAAATCCAGGAAGCATTGCCCCCAGACCTCTTCTGCCTGGAAAGTGTAGATGTTGAAGTGTTCCTGAACTGATTACAAGGATGCTCGTAGGTTCCTCAGGCCATAAT